TAATAATCCCTTCTAAAGTCTACAACTCAGTTCTCTAGCACTATATCACAACTGTCTCTAAGTCTATCCCAAGAATATCTCCAGTGCTCATCATTCATAACAGAAGTATCGACCGAAACGACACAAAGATCTGGACCTATTCATGCGCTGCAAAAGACCACCGGAACTAGCTTTACCAAGATGGGCGTACCATCGTCTTATTACGGCAAGAACAGGCCACGGGGACTACGCCGACTACCATCGACGTTTCAACCCCGAACATGAAGATCTGAAATGCGTTTGCGGCCGAGAGAAAAGGCCCTGGCATTTTTCAGAGTGCCAACCTGCTTTGCAACGTTGGAGAAGCTGTGAGAAATTGGCCCCGCCTGGAGCCAAGAAGATGATTGGGGAGAGGAGATGGCAGAAGTTCTTCCAATTCCTAACTACAAGCAGATGTAACAGTTTGCCGAAGAATAAACAGTGTGGGAGTTGATCACGCTGAGACGGATTCCAACTCGGGAGGAGATGGGGTTTGGAAGATAGGGATGCGGCGCAGGGCACCGTAACTCAGATATATACTTTTCATTTTTTTTCATTCTTTTCTTTTGTCGCTTCTGGCTCCACTGCCGGTCATGTAGGTAATAATGAGCTTTCAGAGCCCATCTACCCGTGTCACGTCTAAATAGGTGTTAGGTTCTTCCTGTCACGTAAAAGACTTCAAATTCAAATTCAAATAACGGATCTATCATTCTCACGCGAGTCCTCCATCTCAACCTTACTACACCACCTCGCCTCAGATACCGATAATGGCGTTACTCCAATTGCAATCGGGCATTTGCCCCATCCAAAATCAGCCATCTCCTTCTACACATTTACGACACTATGTATACCCGCGAGGAGGAAACTAAGTCACAATCTACAAAGCTCGGGTCTTGGTTTATGGGGGACCGTTGCTCTAATCGGGCTTCACATCTTGAGGAAGGACAGGCAGCTGGGACGTGGGACTAACGAGTGAAGAGGTCACAAATAGGCATGCTGGGATGCACATTTTTCAAGTGTTTTTGACTTAAGGGTGTCTGTGGGCGCATAAGCAACGATTTTGGATAGTGCAACCGACACTCTAAAAATAGGCAACGATGGAAGGTGTTTTGGTCCGCTTCCTGGTCGTCATCTCCCCGAATTAAAGTCTGGGTAGTCTGGACACCTACCTCACTCGAGAAAGGGAGGACTGTGAAGCCATATCTCGCGCGGCGCCTATATACAAAACGGCAAAGGCATGTCAGGGTAGCCAAAGGTTTTTCCTGTTTTCCCTTTGGTGGATACTAACGGTTGAGGAAAGGGTGAAAGTCCTGAGTACCGAGATCTCGAGCGGTATCAGCGAATGCACCGACTAATTGAGTAGTCTAAATGACAAACTGAGTTGTCGTCGTATATAGTCGCCGGAGAAGCTAGTCTTCTCCGTGTCATGCTCTTTGAGTGCAGGGCTTGTGCCCGTCACGAATAAACTTTCATCTTCTTTAGACAAGACAATAAAGTGAATTAATAATCGCCGCGGCAAAGGATGTCTCGATGGCGGAGGCAACAGGTATCGGAGGGCTGGAATCTGAAGAAGGAGCTTGAGGGAATAGCAACCTCGATGATGCCTCTATAGGCATTCACTAACCAATAGCAGGATACCGGCTATATCAAAGGTGCCTGCTAACCCATCTTTTGCTCTCAGCGGAGAATGGGGAAATTTGTCACTTGGAAGGTGTGATGGACGACGGATTGTACGAGGAGCGCATTTCCTGGGTCCAATGTGGAGGAATCTTCTGTTGTTAGGAGTTGCTTTGATTTTCGTGATTTTTCGTTCTGTTTAATCAGCTGCACTTTTGGCAACGATTCACGAGTCTGGAACGAGTTAGACTCTAGGAAAAGTTACAGGGAGCCTTGCCGGATCCGCCGGTCCTTGACCCTATGTGGATAAAGAGCTTTAGATTAGAACTTATTCACAATTAAAAAAAAATAAAAGCTGTCCGCCACTCTGCTTTCCATTTTAAATATAGTAAATTTCCCTCTACCCGAAACTTCACTGTTTTTTTTCAAGTAGTTTTAAATTACACCCGCAGAACAAGAAGATAAGAATAAATTCTTCCATCTAGCATTAACCCAGCACCGGATCGTAAAATTTCACTTGGAAACATCTAATGGGCTCTGGATTTCGTCGTAGAACTTCGTTTACTCAACCCATTTTCCGAAGGCGAGGGCACCTTTAGGCGTGCCAGGTATCCATTTCTCCGCCGGGGCAAGAATGACGAGGTCCACCGCGAAGACGGGCACGGTTTCTCCCTGTACTGCAGATGAAAAGTCATTAGGGCATCTTCGTGTGCGAAACGTCGATGATATGGGTCGAATTCTCCGTGTCCGGAACGAGCTGCGATGAGCGCTCCACATGTCCGCCGATTTAAGCCTTTCAGTTCTGGGGTTATTCCTGATCTAGGATCAGTTCCGAGTTTACGGGAACAGGTTTATTTATTTATAATACTTAACGTCGTGCCCGCGCACAGCACGTGAGCTCCTCACGTGCCGGTTAGCTCAGTCTAAATATGTCATATAGACATGATTCATTCATGAGTTGATATTGTTCAGACGATCATGACTATATCACGTCATGTATAGACAAGATTCATCGTTTGTACCTGTTGTATCAACCATGACTATGTCTCAGTGATAGGAGAAACATCATTGACTAGTTACTAGAAACCTAATCAAGATCCTAAACACACAACTGAGACTAGGAGAATTTTACTGAGTAAGTAATTATTCTGATGAATCTAGATCTGGAGGAACATAATTTGGTTGCTTGGCTCGAGGTATATGAACCTGAGCATATCATATATAATAAACAATATAGAAATCTATCTCAATCACAATCATTATCTTAATTCATGTCACCATCAATAGCTGCAAAGGACAGATTAACCATTTCCTCATAAAATAAAACTACCCAACGTGTTGGCGCCTGAACAAACCCAACAAAGCAAATGAAAGCCAGGATCTCATCATCCTGCGCTTGAGGATTAAATTATACATGGTTACCGGTCACCCTTCAACTCTCATGTATTCAGATGGTATTGAATGAAGAATAGATTAAATAAAGAATATGGAAGGGGGAACTTAGTTGAATCACATGATTCCCTCTCGGTCAGACTTATTGTGCTTTTCCAAAGAAATTTGTGACTCGTACCAAGCTATTAAATGCGTGAACTACCTCCGCGGAAGCGAGAGCCCAAGATATGCTGGGGCTAGGATTTTGTGCTCTGTGGAGCTGTGCCTGGTACTACCCAAGGTGGCAATAGAAAAAGTGGTTGGGTGACTTTTCTTCTACACATGAGCAGGTTAGAATGGCGTTTTCGTGCTGAAACCGTCGGTGGTAGTCTGAAAAATCGCCATATCTAGACCGTGCAGCTAATAGATATCCTAGTGTGCGTCGCCCTAGAAAGGCGAGCTCGATAGTAATCTTAGTATTAGGACCAATTCCTAATTATTTATATCTAGATGCTGAACTTTCTGCCCAGTAAAGTGCAACAGAAGCCTCGTACTGGGCTTTGACTTCCCTTCTTGCCCTCGCAATAGAGAATACCGAAGGTAGAGCTGGAGCCGCAAAAGCGGCTTTGGCAAGCGCGTCGGCTGCTTCGTTTCCCAGAATACCTGCGTGACCCGGGCACCATCGGATGGCCACTTCCCTAGGCATTGTGTTTTAGCCGCGTTACCTTCTTTTCCAGTTTGCTGCAAGCTTGCGAAAGATTAATATTTTTGCCGAGCTGGACGCTGTGGGTGTATCCAAGAGCAGACGGATGGCAGCCTCCTGGTTGTCAAGGCAGACAGTGACTTTAGAGGCATAGAAAGCCAGTGGGTTGAGGAGTGCTGCAGTAAGGCCTTCCGTGGCCCCGGCAATTTCAGCATCATAGATCTCTGCCGAGTTTCCGAGCGGGAGTGATCCTCGCCCAATCTCCTGCGTAAGGCCTCGATAGATCACGTACCCCGCGCCTGCTCGGTCTGCTATGAGAGCTCCATCTGAAAATACGAATAAGTCTAGAATGGGTCGAGCAGCCTGCTACTGTTTGAAGGAATTTGATCCCGAGAGTCTACCTACTGCCCCAATTTCGATTAGCTTTTCCTCACGGGGTGCCGACCATGGTGGGGGGATGGTATCTTCGGAAAGTTCTAGTGGAATCCTCTGGCGGATCCAGCGCATGCGGCTAGTGTTCCAACGCCTACGAAGAGGGTGATAGGGGTCAGCTGCAGCAATTCGAACCGCTAGACGGCTGTGAATTCTGTTAAGCCACGTCTGAGCTGGGCCCCAGCCAGCTTCACGTAGAAGTGCTGCTATTGGTGTGGTACGGTAGACTGGAAGAGCTGCCCGTGCCGCGTCGTTCATCCTATGTTGGACTTGCAAGATAATTTTTTGGGAAGTCTGTTTATAGTACCAGGTTTAGGCCCCGTAGAAAAGGGTCGCAAAGGCAGCACCTTGTAGAGCTTGTCTTAGAAAAAGAGGGCTTATTCCTCGAGTGGTTGTGGACAGTCTTTTCATGTGGCTCGTGATAGCTAGAGACTTCCGGCAAGCCTGTATAGTATGATATTGGAACCGAAGAGCACGGTCGAAAAATATTCCAAGCCAGCGAGTGTGGTCATTTGGCGTTATAGTTGTCCCTCCACGGGAACAGGTTTGTTACACTTTTATTGTTACCCAGCTTGCGAAGTCCCGTGTTGCCGATAAAAGACCCGCCAACACGTTTATTCTTTCGCTTTGGATCTAACTAAAGTTGTCTACCACCAAACCATTTAACTTGAACTTCAATCCGCCGTAACGCAGAGGTTGGGCCTACACTCAAAGGTATGGATAAGGACATCCGATTATATGATCGCCTAGCTTCTTTAGTCTGAGAACATCTGTAGCAAAGGAGCTAACTGCATCTAGGACTGTGAACCAATAAGGTGGCCGCTGTTCCCCCCATTCCAGAGGATCAATTTTGAACATCATGAACAACTCGCAGTTTCGCAAGTTAGTTAACGAAAATTATGCTCCGAAATCTGGCTCACCCGTGCGGCGGGGACCAAGTTTGATCGTGCAAGATGAGAATAGGTCTTCAACACTGGGCTCACGAGCTCGAAACTCGTTTCCCATGACACCGTATGATACCCGAAACCTTGGGCACAATACCTAACTTGGATTCATCTAACATTCTGGCTCTTTTCAGAAGATCAGTCGCTGACTCAAGTTATTCTACAATAATTAGCCGTCAGAGTTTACAAAGGCAAAAATCACCAGTTAATAAAAAGTTTCGCTCTTCGGAAGCACCCAAGGGTAGCAAATTACCCGAGGGCTACGTTGACAGAACTAAATCGCGAGTAAATAATAATGAACATGAATCTATAAATGATAAGGCCGAGCGCGTCAAATCTCTCGAGGAGGTTATGAAACTAGGCCAAATCGACGAGCTAACGTTTGTTAAGCTCCGAGACGAAATTTTAGGCGATGAAATTGGTATGGAAAGAGCAGGCTTAGTTAAGGGATTAGACTGGGGACTACTGAAAAAAGTGAAGATGGGAGAGGTTGACGCGCAGGATGTCATAACCAAATCGGGTTTGAACAAATCAGAAGATCGTGAGCAGAAAATTGATGATGGTTTTGACGAGCTTGAAGCGAAACAAATCCAACCCCTCATCCATAAATCGTCTACAAAGAAAGGCGTAATGGCTCCATCACTATTGACAGGAAAGAGGAATCGTAACCAAATACTAGCCGAACTTAAGGCTTCCAGGGAATCTACACTCCAAGCTACCACATCTAGACTTGGATGTAGATTTAAAAGGGTAGGAGAGCCACGACCAAAGACAAAGATCGAAAAAGATAGGAAGGGGCGAGATGTTATGATTAGCATTGACGAAAATGGGAACGAAAAAAGAAAAGTCCGCCGAACACAGAAAGAAGTAGCTGAAAACGAAAGGAGTACTGATCTCCTGATGCCAGATAAAAGTGTGAAACCCCTAGGAATGGAAGTGCCCGAGATACCACAAAATATGCAGTCGGAAGAATGCTTGGATATTTTTGAGGATGTCGGAGATGATTATTCTCCTCTCGCAGAACTAGATGGAGATGATGAAAGCGATACTGAAGAAATTGGGACACAGATATATCCAAATGCAGATGCCACCAAAACTCAGGCTGAGGACTCTAAAGTCCAGCCTTCGAATGAAACTCTAACTCCTCAAGCTATAGTGCGAGACTACTTCAAAGCCACCAATATGGAGATAGTACCAGCCGACAAAACTAGTGCTTACAAGACCCCGGGGCTTCTTGATCCAACAATTCTTGCGACACTCCAAAAAGCATCGAAAATAAGCTTAAGAGTTGCTATTGATGGCAATGATGAAGATGAGGCCAAAAAAGTTTCTGCTCTCCGCGAGAAAGAAGAACGCCACAAACGTATGCTTATGCAAGATGATCGTGATGACCAGGATATAGATATGGGTTTCGGGAGCAGCCGGCTAGAGGACGAAGCAGATGCATGCGAAACCGAAGTCCAGCTATCAAAATGGAGTGAAGATGATGTTCTCGATGGTTCGAATACTGACAATAGAAAGAAGAGAAAGAGGAGGTCGAAAAAAATGAATTCCGCTGTCAAAAATTAATATGGTATTATGTCTAGATAATAAAAACGGGTTAATTATAGGGGTAAACATCAGGTGTTATGGAGTAACAGCTTAATTAAAAGGTTTATTCAAGAGAATGTATGAAACATCAGTTACCAAGAGTCCACAAATCTAGGTTCACATTGCAACAAGCAGATGATTTTAAAATTTTTAACAGATTTCTACCCAAGCAAAGAACCATGAGATCCTATTCTTCACAAAATTTTAGGTCTTCGAAGATGATTCTACTCCGATGTGGTACATTTAAGTCGTTGATATTTTCGTAGATCACACTCGTAGTGAATGTCATGTAGGGACATGATTTATCGATTGATCAATCTTATCCTAACTCTCATGAATATCTCTAAGTGATAATGGAATGATTATTTCCAACCCAAAGCAAAACTAGCCAAAACCTCCAACCAACAACTGAGACAAGAGGATTTCACAAAGTAAATAAATAATAAGAATCTAGGCCTGAAGGGATACAATCTAATTATCTGCTTTTGAGCTATCAAGGGTAGTCTTATCATGTTGAATAAAAAATATGTACATCAATCTCAATCGTCATATGAATTTATGTCACCATATTCGGCCGAGCAGGACAGCGTTTCAATTTTCTGATAGTGAGCACCTAGACTTTCACTCTTCTTTCAACCTTGAATATCAGGCAAAATTAAGCTGCAGATGAAGCCAGCGAAGATATCAAGTACGCAGTACCTCGGGGACCTTATTTTTTTCACAAGCACAAGCACAAGCTCTAAATTAATACACCTGTGGCTGTCAAGGATAATTTTTCATGTTCCAATGGTGCCAATGTGATCGCTCGGTGTTCTCTGCTCATCTTAGACAGCCAAGAAGAATCGCATTCGAATTGAAGTCGATAGCAATCACAAACACGTTTACAATCGGCGATTTCTCATCAATGTCGGTCTTGTTATTCTGACGGGAGTCCTCTACCTTAACCTTACCACACACCCCTCACCTCAACGACTGATAAAGGCGTTACTCCAATTGCAAACAAAAGCTTGCCTCATTCATCACCGGCCATCACCCAATACTAAATCTACGACACTGCGTATACCTGCAAGGAGGAAATAAGTCCTAATGAATAAATCTTGGGCTCTTGGCTTATGGGGGGCTGATACTCTAATGAGGTTATTCGTCTCGAGGAAGGACAGGCGACTGGGGCGTAGGATGAGATAAGACGGAGACTTCTTGTGGAACTGATACCTCAGACATTTTCGAGGCATTTTCAACTTTGGAATGTCTGTGGGCCCCAAGGCCAAGATTTCGGTTCCTAAGCCAGTAGGGTTTCTATTGTCGATTAGTCAACGGCACTCCCCAGCGCCCTGGACGGTACAAAAGAAGTTAGGCTAAGCTACCATACAGCAATCACGCTCTGTCAAGACCTTTCTGACATTTCAGCACGACCTTCGGGAAGGAGTTGGAAGGAGGCTAGAAAGGCAGAGTGTGAATTTCCCGAGGTACAAACAAGTCTGCAGTGCCTAGTTGGCCGGCCTCTTCGAACGCTTCAGAAGGGGCAATATGTCTTCGGATTTATTCCTAATGTCGGTATTATAAGAGCGCCGCAACCAGTGTTTTTTACGATATTTCCTGGCTACTACATACCCAAAATTAGCCATCGTTTGGACGGCTGAGGAGGGTGAGATGAAGGGCAAAGGGCTCCTCTTAGTGTATGATCAATTGAGGACTTGTGAGGGATGGTACTGTTCGAGGGGAGCTGCATGGGAGGCATAGGAGGGGATATACTACTGGTATAGGTCTTCTTGTCCTATAGGCAGAGAGGACCTGCATATCCAACATAGTTATAGACTGAGACGGGACGAAAAAAAAAATAATGTTATGATTTTCGATATTGAGTCGAAGATGTAATCACACTGGTTCAAAATAAGGTCGAATCATCACGGCAGCAGACTCAATTATTTGGCTCATCAGGGGTATGCCTCGATTTCTGGCAGTCCTCCCTCTCTAAAACTCTTCTTCCAATATTAGACCCTATAATTGTTTCTTTCATGTAGGCTAAACTAACCTACCCCAGGAACTCTATTGGCAGAGTATATCCAAAACTATTTTGACTCTAACCTCTTCAGTTTTCCGGTCTAACTGTGCTTATAAATCATCAAATCAAATCAACACTATTTTACTCTTTTTGAATCATATCATAATGTATGAATTTAGCAAAACATGTGATAATTATAGAGAATTAAATAAATTTCTTTTGCGGAATTGCACGTAGGCAACTCGCTGTAAAAATTTGGTCTAATTCTTTGATGTTCTTGATGAAGTCTTTAGCCATCTGGTTGAATTGATAAATAAACAAACAGTGCCGTTTCTTCGTTCAGATCTAGGTTGATGTGGTCCTTATCATGACGCCAATCTAAGTATGCTTGTCATCATGAAAAATGTTAGGGCAAAATCTGAATTAACTATAGCCGTGTTTGAGGTTTTAGTTGGCTATGAGTCAAACTTTGCTAGTTCTAAAAAATTTATTCTAGAAAATTTATACGTGTACAGCTTTTTGAGCCCGTAATAATTACTAATATAGAAGATTGGTATAATTTCATAGCAGTGATTTGTTTGTTATCAAGTCGAGTAATTGAAATATTTTGTATAAAGTTTCATCTAGTGAATTGGGAGATGGTAATCTCTCCTGTTCTAATTTGAACTTGCTCCCTGTTTTATTTCATCTGATAATAACGCGTCGCCAATTAGTGATTGAGATAATTTATATGAAACCATACTTTACAACTTCTTTTTGGGTAGGTTACATTAGGCACAGCAAAATCTGACGTGAAACACACGAATGGTAGTTTATGATATGGTGTGAGTATTGCTAGTTCCTTTCATATAAGTGGACCATCTGGTGGGCCACTATCATTCGTTGAAATATAATCCTGTTACTAGTAGCCGAGGCTTCGAAACGACTTTGACGCAGATTTGGAGTTATGGATCGACTTGCAACTCAATCTAGAAGAAAAGACGGCATTTTACACCAAAATTTAAAGGATTAGCTTGTCCAAACCGCTTAGTTCCGACTTTCTTGACTCTGTAACACGACTGACTTCATTGAAGGATGAGCTAAGTGAAAGCTGTACCATACAATTAACATACTATTAACCTAAAATCTTTTGAATTTCAAGTCCAGTCAAAGAAAGATTTCTCTTCAGGCCATGGCGAGTAAATGGCAATGTATTCCTTTTTTTTATGCTAAAGCAAAAAAATGGAATCTATGCTCATGATCCAATTGAAGCCTAATAATGGTTGCATAAGACAAATTATACTCCCAGTAGGAATTCTGATATTGATATGACCTTCTGAGTATCCTGCTAGTAGCAATTATATAAATTACCAAGGGAGAATTATTTAGTCATCATCATTTGAAAACACTATCACAAATGCGGGATATCTGTACATCTGATGTAGATCTATAGTTATTTAGTACTAGCTGAGAGCTTGATTCCGGATCATAACTGACCATAAATTGAAAGTTATTAATCTTTATTTTCTTTTATTGTAAAATTATTTTCTTCATCATTGTTCAATCCTAATGCTTGTAGTTCCCGTACCAGCTCGTTGATTTTGATGACTTTTGCTAGCTGCTCAGGCAATAGAGATGTCCCACCATCTTTCCTTTCTCTGAGTTCTTTCGCTTGCTTTATTTTCTTTCTTAGATTCTTTGCCTTCTTTTCTTTTTCTACGTTGACATCAATTGAAAGCTCAGATGCTTCAGTTTTGCTCTCCTTGGACTCATTAACTACATCCTTCTCCTTTTCTGCTACCTCCCTGGCTTTTTTTCTAGCTTCTCTTCTCTTTGCATTTTTATTGCTGATTGCAGATCCCTCGGCGTGATCTTCTTTTAGACCTTCGGCTCCTGGTATTTTACTGCTTCCACGATCTCTCCATATTTCTGCGGAACGGTTCTTATAAACTTCCACATCTTCTGGTGGCTCATAACCGGGTCTTATCTTTATTTCTTTCCTTTTTGTACCGTCGGCACGAGTAGAAGATGGTATATGACGTTCACCGTTGTTTGATGCGATAATACCCGCCTTTGATGGTGCTGGGGGCATGATGAAAGTATTTTAAGATTAAGCTGTGATCTCCCAAGAGTAGAGCTTGGATTTCCGAGATGGATGGTGTATGTAACTCTAGCAATCTTTCTAACTCCTCAGATAGCTACGTCCTTTGTGCACAAGTGGGTATCTTATCAAAATGGAAAGCGGGACAGGTAGTTGGCTCTAATCTTACTGGAACGTGTCACGTGACAACAGAGCTAATCAGACTTTATGGCACGCGAGTTACTTGACACATCCAAATCCGAACAGTGTTAAATAATTCTAGATGGTATGGAGATCTCTCCACAACTATATTGAGGAAAATACAACTCACTAACTCTCCGTCGTTGTAGGCAGCTTCCGGTGCTCTTTACAAGCAAGTCTCAACTTCATCTATTGTCGATCATCGTCTCCCGTTTCCGAATCTGGAATAATTTAGGCTATAGTTGCTAACCATGGCCCAGCCTCCTATTTCGAAAGAACTATGTCTTTCTTGGAGTTGTGTTTGCTTCTGCGTTCGCATTTGAGATGTATGAACGCTCTCCAAATCTTGTGAATAGGCAAAAACTAACAATGATATAGAGGCTTTGACAAATCAATTGATAGAATTTGGGATAGGACTAACGCCGGTGTAAGTAAAATATGAAGGCTTGGATTTTTATGACAGCACGCTGAACTAGAGGACCAGCGTCAATGGAAGGATATCCGATCAAGATATGTTCAGAGCGCGGAGGAGGATGATGAGTGATTAGCTTCAATTGGCAGATGGAAACACAATGGCAGACTCCATGAGACCTTCGAATACTAGATTGGGTTTTATAACTGTAGGCATTCAAATATCTATCCAGAATTCGTAGGACTTTCATCTAGGCTTTCACAGCCATTAAATTTGTGAAGTAGTGCCAAGTCTACAGTTTAGTAGTGACAAAGTGGCAGGTGATCTCGAAGTAGTTTGATTTGGTCATCATGTCGAAATCATTTCAATAATTCGGTACACGTTAACCAAAAAGTCTTTCTTTTAGACTATTGATGAGTTCCTACCAATCTAAGTTCGGATAATTCCTTATAGTTTGTCAACACCCGAGCCTGTTGAGAAAGGCATTCAGGTTCTATGCTTATCTTTATATATTTATCACTTACTAACTTTTCTACGTAAACAATAGTATTACAGATCTGAATAGTAGCTATGCAAAGAGAGAATTTACCCGCATGATGGAGGAAATTTCCACACAAGAACAGCAGCTCTGCAACTTTCTCAAAGATCTTCCCCGCATTCACAAAAATCGATACACGAAAGCCGCCGAGAATGAACTACTGCAAAATCTTTTCTGGTCCCTAGCTGGAGGGAGCTCTGACTATTTGCGACTCTTTTTTCCAGAGCATGGTAGACCTTTGCCGAATACGACGTGGAAGCTTAGAAAAGCTCAAGGTGGCGCCGATGGCGACGAGTTCACTGAAGCGGCTAGAGGAAGAGCATGTGGGCATATATTTAAGTCTGGAGAAGCTACTTATCGTTGCAAAACTTGTAGTGCTGATGAAACGTGTGTACTCTGCAGCAAATGTTACGACTCATCCGATCATACTGGGCACATGATTTATATCGGTGTATCCCTAGGAAATAGTGGATGCTGCGATTGTGGTGACCTTGAAGCCTGGAAGATACCAGTTAATTGTGCAATACACGCATTGTTAGATGACGATCAGAAAGGTAAAGATAAGGGCAAGTCTCCAGCCTTACCTCATGATCTTATAGAGTCTATACGAATGACTATCGGAAGAGTATTCGATTATATCTGCGATGTAATCTCGTGCTCTCCTGAGCAATTAAGGTTGACGAAATCAAAGGAAAACATCATCCTGGATGAACAGATGTCTAGGCTAACTTCCCGGTTCTATGGTGGAGATATTACAGAAGACAAATGCGAATTTGCTCTACTATTATGGAATGATGAAAAACACACAGTCTATGAAGTACGAGATCAGGTTGCAAGGGCCTGCAAGGTCTCCATACAGGAGGGTTTAGACAGAGCACATGAAACTGACGATATAGGTCGAAGCATCGTTAAGTACGGGTATGATCTAGATGATTTATTAAAGGTTTCTGATATAATTGAGCAAATTAAGGTGACTGTTACTATTCGATCAGCAAGAGATACCTTTAGAGAGCAAATGTGCGGTACAATTATCGAGTGGCTAAGTGACATATCTGGATGTAGTGTCGGGTCTGATCACGACATTCTACGCCGAGTTATTTGCGAAGAAATGTTAAAGCCCTGGAGTACAGGAAGTCAAGCAAGCAATGCAACTATTGGTGTAAGAGGTATTGATGATCACGAAAAAGAAGACCCTGACGAGTACCGCGATTATCGACTTGGCCTTCTTGGACGGCAAGAACTCATACTTAGAACCGTGGCAACAGCAGCCAATCCGGATACTGAATCTGAGGGATCAGAAGCCCCTGACCCTGAGGAAATAGAAAATGATGATGTAGACGATGATCTAGATTCTATCGACATATATCAAGTCGAAAACCATAGAGTACCAACCACTAGTGGTGGAGATGAATCCCGCTTTTATGTTGAAGAATCGGCTTATGATACGGACCCTCAGTCTCAAACAGCTGGAGCATCTGAGACAGATAATGACGGTGATACGGACATGAGAGATCCTGTCGATAGTTCACCGATGGAAGATGTAGAAACTACATTAGAAGGATATCCGTCGCTAACGGCAACTACCCCACAGCCCGCTGCGCGAGCTACTCGAGATAGAGATGTTACTCCATCAGACTCAGATGCCGCTGAAGTCCAGCCTTTAATCTCAAGTACTGCATATGTTAAATCTAGCGTAGTTCCAAGGACGCCACGTATGAATGTCATGCAAGAGTTTCTTTCTAGGCCACCACGATACTGGCTTGAGACACCTGTGGAATTTATCGAAAAAGACTACTGCTCTGCTCATGAAAATTTATGGAGTCATCTTCGGTTAGATTGGATGATTCTTTTTGACTTGAGGATGTGGAAAAAAATACGTATAGGTCTCCGCGATTTATACATTTCCACAGTAGTATCAATACCAGAATTCAAGCGTATTCTTGGGTTACGTTTTGCTGGACTCTATACAACACTGGCACAGCTTTATCTCATTGCTGATCGAGAGCCAGATCACTCAATCATAAATATTTCATTACAGATGTTGACTACTCCATCAATTACGTGTGAAATAGTGGAGAGAGGCAATTTTCTCACAAATTTAATGGCTATATTATTCACTTTTTTGACCACAAGACAAGTTGGACACCCTCATGAAATCAATCCAAGCGCCACTCTCGCATTTGATACAGGTTCCGTCACAAATCGACGAATGTATCATTTTTTTATGGACCTTAGATACCTCTTTGGTTCTGACTATGTCAGAAAAATATTGAGCGCGGAAGAAAGATATACGATGCAATTTTTGGATTTAGTAAAATTACATCAAGGAATATGTCCTAACCTTAAGGCCGTTGGTGAACACGTCGAATACGAAACAGATGCTTGGATCAGCGCTTCTCTAATTACCCGAGAAATAAATCGCCTCTGTAGGCAGTTTTCGGAGGCTTTCAAATGGAATCTTGGGGATGATTTTATCTATATATCCAAGGCCATTAGGATAACGGCTAAAGCTGTGATCCTCAACTCGCTCGGAGCAGAGCGAAAAAGGTTCTCGCAGAATGAAATTAAGGACGAAGTTAAATTCAAAAGAGTTGGTGATTATGAATTTGATACTACTGATAACCTAATTAGCGGGCCCCAACATTTAATCGTTAAATTTAATTTCGAGTCACAGCCTATCAGCTTTCATCATGCCCTTCATTATACGCTTTCATGGCTTATCGAGCATGGTAAAAACATGACACGGGGGAAGCTAATTGAACTTTTATCCTTCACTAACAGTGATCTATTCCAAAAGCCCAAGGCAATGGGCCAACGATTGATACCGAGCCAAATTCTAACTCCAGAAGATCATCTTTTGGCAGCGTTTGATTATCCTTTACGAGTTTGCGTGTGGCTTGCCCAGATGAAGGCTGGAATGTGGGTTAGAAATGGAATGAGTCTACGCCATCAAATGAGCACGTATCGTGGAGTCAACCAGCGGGATGTTTCTCATCACCGTGATATATTTCTACTTCAAACAGCTATGGTTGTCTGCCCCCCCTCTCGAGTACTGGTATCAATTATCGACAGGTATGGCCTCGAATACTGGATGAAAGGAATATATGAACAACAATCTGATGGGCAGGAAGATAACCAAGTTTTAGATGTGGTTGAGGACTTAATTCAACTACTAATAGTTATCATTAGTGATCGAACTTCGCTAACCAATAATAAAGATGAGCCTAATTCTCATGTCCTTGCCATGCGTCGAGATATTATTCATATTCTCTGTTTTAAGCCACTTTCTTTTTCCGATATATGTAACAAACTTCCAGACAAGTTCCAAGATCAAGAAGAATGTCAGAATATCCTTGATCAATTAACGAACTTTAAACCGCCCGAAGGTCTTTCTGATGTGGGTACCTTTGAGTTAAAAGAACAATACCTAGAAGAAATTGACCCCTATATTGCCTATTATCATAAAAACCAAAGGGAAGAGTCAGAAAATGCGTACAAAGCATGGGTTGCAAAAAAACAAGGTCTCCCAATATCAGAAATTGTGTTTGAACCAAAGCTAGCTCCAATTCAATCAGGTGTTTTCTCAGATCTGGCATCATTTACGAAGACTGGAATTTTTGCACAAATAATATATTACTCGCTTCTATATCCACTAAAAGCTAAGCATCTCACGCCTACAGTTCCTACCACAAGAATTGAAGCATTTTTACAAGTTGTTCTGCATCTTGTGCTAATCGCTATTTCTGAAGACGATACCACAGAATCTGAGGCCCCAGGGAGGCCGATGCAGTCATTTGTTCACATCTCCTTAACAAGTCTTGCTCGAAGCAATTTCCTCCGAAATGCCCCAAATTCTAGAACTATTGTTGCTATTCTAGAGATTTTATCTCGAAGGGAAGAATTCAAAGCCTGTAGCCCAAAAATTTCACTTATTCTCAAAAAAATGAAGCAGAAGAGACCGCGTGCCTTTGAGTTGGCCTTTGCACGTATTGGTGTCCCGATTGACCGTGTCTCTACAGCATTACCATCAAAAGATAGCACTATGAAAGATCGTGAAATGAAGAAGCAAGCAGCTCTTGAACGTCAGGCAAAAGTCATGGCTCAATTCCAACAACAGCAAAAAAACTTCCTGGATAACCAGGGTGATATTGATTGGGGCCAAGAAGATACGGTAGTTGAAGATCTTGAAGCAGAGAATGAAAATTCAGATCATAAAACTTTCTGGCAACATCCTTCTGGCACTTGTATTTTGTGTCAGGAAGAAACTAAAGATGGTAGACTTTATGGTACTTTTGCTCTAATGATGAATAGCACTATCCTTAGACAGACCGATTTTAACCACCCAGATTTCATGCGCGAAGTAACTAATATACCCATAAATTTAGACCGTTCTGCAGACTCTATTCGTCCCTTTGGTGTTGCCAGTGAAAATCGAGAGAAAATTATAAAACTTAACGCTAGGGGAGATACGATTGAGAGTGAGCGATACTGTGTTGGAAAAGGATTCCCTGCAGAATCAACGATCACTGGCCCAATATCTGTTGGTTGTGGACACATTATGCACTATAAGTGTTTTACCGTATATTATGGAGCTTCCCATCGTCGCCATCAACATCAAATTTCTAGGCATCATCCTGAAGAACTACTACGAAATGAATTTGTTTGTCCGCTATGTAAAGCCTTGGGAAATGCATTTCTTCCGATTCTTTGGTCACCAAAAGAAGAAGTCCCCTTATGCCAATTTAAATTAGACGTATCTTTTGAGGAATGGTTAGATTACTCAGTTAAATTTCCTACGCCGGATACATCCGCTTCGACCACTTCAGGTGTGCAGAACAGTCGAGCAACTGAATACTTTATGGAGTACAACAAACAAGTTTTGGCTGCACCATTGGAGGCTCGTATGTCTGAGCTTTTAATCGAGGCTTGGAATCAAACTACATCGATTCCAACTCATCAGCATTTAACGCCTGAAGATTTGAGAATAAATCCTCCTGATTTGGTTAATGCCCCGATAACCTGGCCTTCAAATCCAACTCAATCAAACCCAGCTATCTCCCCAATGACAGAGCTTGTGGAATCTTATCGTCGTCTGACGGATACTATGCACCGAAATAGACTTCCGACTAGACATATACATGGTATACACTCACCATTTTCAAATGATGATAGCGTAGACATAGTAGGAAGTGATACCTTGGCAAAAATTCTTGCTTTTTCTGTATCATCCGTCGAAATACAGCAACGAGGGATCTCGTCCTCGCCCGGGACAACATTCCTTGATGTTGTTCCGCAACAAGCTCTCATTCATTTAAGAATCCTCTCCGAAACAGCAAGCTCATTTATATCCATATGTGGCATTAGATCTGCTGGGGATAATGCTGTGACTAAAGAATTCAATGCCGACTACAAAGTTCAAGCGGAACAACTTTTCCTACGTCCAAGATCCCGAAATTCACCCAACGTATATCTTCTCAGTCATGATATATTCGTATTTTTGACTGAGTGCTCTTTATGCTTAGTTCCGGTAGAAAAAATGGATATTATGCAGGTAATTCGTCTCTGCTATCTAGCCGAACTTGTCAAAGTCATCATAAAACTGACTTATCATTCCGGAAACGAATCTTTCTTTAAAATCTGGCTTTCAAACCTAAATAGTAAATCTCTACGTTCCAGGAAGAATGATGATCCATTACCAAGCACTAATTTTCAGAAATTTTGTCTCCAGATATCTGAATGGTCTAAAAACATGGAGGACTGGACATTTTCGGAAACGATTGCAATAAACCAACCATGCTTTAGCCAAGAAAGCTCATATGAATCATTTGTAAGAAAATATGCCCTTGCTTTTCTACGCAAGGTAGCCCTACTACTTCATGTTCGTCATGGGGTTTCACTACAAAGCCAATCAGCAAATCTATCAAAAGCCGATGAACTTGATCGTCTTACAGATGTACTTCAGCTTCCATCTCTGGACCAAATGTTTTGCATTGAGAATAACCCTACCTTGATATCTCTAGTCAAGGGATGGATCTCACAGGTTCCTCCTGTCTCAAACAAATCTAGCGGCTTATTACCAGTATCACTATCACATCCAGCTATATTTGAGCTTGTTGGGCTCCCAAAGAATTATGATACCCTCATGGAAGAAACAATGAAGCGCCGATGTTTGACCACAGGGAAAGACGTCTGCGATCCAATGCTTTGTCTTTTTTGTGGAGTTATTATATGTGGACAGAGTGTTTGCTGTCTAAAGCAAGGAGAACGCGGTGGACGTATCATGGAGATCGGCGGAGGTCAACAACACATTGAAAAGTGTGTATTAACAAATGTTGTGAATTTTTCAGCTAACGTTAGTTCTATAGATGTCAAAAAAACATTGCCTTGTTCCTCAACATCCGCAAATGCTGTGTCTTTTATGCGCATAACACTTCGGGTTCGTGGATGGTCGCACCATATATTAATCAGTACGGCGAAGTAGACCCCGGCCTTAGACATTCAAGACAACTATTTCTAAATCAAAAAAGATATGATGCTCTTTTGAGAAATGTGTGGCTAAGCCATGGGATTCCTAGCATCATAAGCAGGAAATTGGAGATGGATATCAACAATGGGGGCTGGGAGACAATCTAATTTTGATTGGTGTCATTTTCCAGCTCAAATTATTCCTAGAAAAGGTGGCAAGATTATCGGCCCGCGCAAAAAATCAGATTTGACATGTGTTCATTAGAAAATGTGCTCATGTATTTCGAATCTCTATTATGATGGGGTCAATGGATATTAACCCTCGTTCGGGACCTGAAGCAAATAGAATCTATGTCTCTTTTTGGTGGAAACCCTGGCGTCGGTCTAGCGAGTTATTGTTGGCAAGAAACTAAATGGTCTGAATAAGCTTTATTGTTTATGCCACAAAGATGGGGCGTGCAACTAGCGAAGCTACAATTATTTAGCAAAGTACTTCAAGCGTGGAAAGCAAGCAAATTTCAAGGTTATGATGTAGCTCGTATGATGTGCTCTACTCTCTATTAAAATTACTGTTCACTAGCGAATAGAAAAATCGCCCTCGTTTTCCCCTCTGACAGTTAATTTTGTGGATAGTTTTGCTACTCTCGAAATATTTCCAGCTGCGCCTGGCATGCCTATAAATACATACAATTCTTTGCGTTATCTTTCAAGTTTTTCATGATAACCAAAGTTGATACATCTGTAGGAGAATATTTGGCTTGAAGGCCAGAATTTAAGGCTACCTGGATGAAAAGGCTAACAGAACTTGGTGCATGTTTATCAAGTAGATTGCATTATTCATTAAACTAGTCACGAAGATACTTTCAATGAAACAACTAAGAAATAGAATTTATAGTATAATGGCATCACAGTGCCTTAATATTACAAATACATGCATTCGCATTTCAAATGATATAAAATACGTAGGTTTATGTAGCTACCGTGTATAAAGATCTGTTGTGAGGACAAGGGCCTGGGCACGTCTGTGAATCACTGACTCCAGGATATGTTGAAGATGAGTATGTACAGCTTACGGGGTTTGTGCAGTAAGCTTAAACAACAAGTTTATTTCCCTTTTTTGACCCATCCCTCCACGGCGTTTCGAGTCGCACTAACTCCCTCATTCACGATATCGGAAGCTTGTTGACTGCGCGCCCTAGCAATCATCCAGGTCTTTTCGACTGCTTCTCTGCTGCGAATATGACTTTCAGCAATAACTGGAAACTTTTGCTCATATTTCCAGGCTAGATTTGAAATATTTTGTAAAGAATTTGGCAGTAGTGCCCATCCAGCAGTTAATCCAATAGCCAGGGGTAGAGTAGCTCGTAATACAATATTCCGATTTCGGGACACTATGCTTCCAGCCATAGCCGCGACTACAACATAGAGTAAACCTGGCATTATTCTTTCACCTGTGTGTGGCGCGGGGACCAAAGATGAGATTGTGCTGGTGAAGTTGTCTTCCAGCTCAAAGGCAGAGTCCATGAAGTCGTTGACTTTATCTTCCATTCTTGCGACATGAGAATAGAGGAACAACCTAGCTACACCAACTTTTTTCGCAAGAAGATCTGTAACAGACTGCGATCTTAATCCAGGAGTTGTCTCTCTCCTCTCTATTGATGAGGTTACGGAGGTCATCGATTGAGCAGGTGCATCGTCATAAATTGGTTTCCTTGACTTTTTAATTTAGTGAGAGAGAGAGAGACCAAGGAGGGAAAATAAATACATTTGCTTCTTGTGGTGATTCAGCATGTAATGTGTTCGTTGGATAGAGGGTGATGCCCGCCATGAGGGCTCCAGTGGCAATCGATGCAACGTGCTAGACTCATTAGCTGTGGTCACATCAATTGGCCATTTCACCCACCCGCCGTATCAAGAATTGAGTAGCCATGGTTTGGAGAAATATTAGCGAGTGAATTATTCAATTAGAAGTTACTCCTGCACAGTATGTGCAACGTTGGAGTTTCGGCCTCGCAGCTAAAGCCTATCGTGCCCGAATAGTTGGCGCAATCGGTCGGCCTCGGGACTACGACCATGCTCTCATTAGCAATACTTCGCTCGGTACACTCAGTGCTAGAACCTCACTAATTTGCCAAAACTTTTTGACCTTCAGGCACAACTAGATCTCGTGTGATGTTCCGAATTGCTGCGTCACCATTGTGGACCTGCAAAAAATGCCTCTACAGACAATTTCAGGTTCGAAGAACTCTTACCCATCACAAATCACACCAGAAATATGAGAATAGTGGCCAAGTATTACTGCCCGTCAGCCACTCAGCTCCAGGAATTAAAAATGACGAGGTAATTTTGCGGCAGATGTTTGATTCCCCCAGATTTTGGGAGGAGTACTCGCAATGTTCAAAATCCGGACTCAATTACGGTCTCTTTCAAAACAGATATCTTACCAAACCAGAGGGCTTTATAGAATTTGCCAGGACAAGCTTGGAAAGAGCCCAGAGACTAGTCGTCAAAGTATTGGCAGCAGCCTCTGAAAAAGAATACCGTCATGTGGTTGTTGATCTAGACAGACTGAGTGATCTTCTCTGCCGTGTCATAGATCTTTCGGATTTTGTACGCTCGACACATCCCGATTTCAAAATGCGAGACGCGGCTACGCAGGCCTATTTGGATTTATACGAGTACATGAATGTTCTAAATACTACCACTGGCCTAGCCAGACAGCTCGACATCGCCATAGATAAAGCATCGTCGCTGGGTTGCCGTGACGAAGAAGAGATTGTGGTGGCTAAAATATTGAAGAGAGACTTTGAAAAGTCGGCGATTGATCTGCCACATACCCAGCAAAAACGCTTTGTCTCTCTCTCCCAGGAAATCAGCAAAAATGGGCAGCAATTTGTTGATGATATGGCTCCCAAAAACAAATTTTTAAAATTCTCTAGTAGCAGGTTACGAGGTATGGATCCAATGCTCGTTAGCCGACTTACGATGTGGGGCCAGACTACGCTGCCCTCTGTTGGACCTTCGGCCAGTGCCGCACTACAGACAGTGCACGATGAAAATGTCAGAAAAGAAATCTATATATCTAGTAGATCTTCATCACAAGAGACAATCGAAAGATTGCACAAGCTGCTGCGTGATCGGGCTGAGTTGGCTCAGCTCTCAAGGTTCAAAACTTATGCACACATGATATTAGAGGATAAAATGGCAAAATCACCTGAATTAGTCTATGCCTTCTTACGAGCTCTATCTCATAAAAACAAAAGTTTGGTTACGGCAGAGCTAGCACAGCTTTTGAACGCCAAAAGACAGTCTACCAATACTACTCATGTATCCTTTCATCCATGGGACAAGGAATATTTTATGTGTCAAGCCATGTCATTAGCTCGGTCCAAGCTGAGAAATTCTGACTTTTTGTCGTCATACTTTTCATTGGGTAGAGTAATGCAAGGGCTATCACGCCTCTTTTCTCGACTCTATGGTATCCGCTTTATTCCTCATGCAGCTCTTCCTGGAGAAACATGGAATGCCGACGTTCGAAGACTGGACGTAGTATCAGAGAGCGATGGCCATGTTGCAGTTCTATATTGCGATCTTTTTTCGAGACCGGGAAAGTCACCGAACCCAGCGCACTTTACGCTTCGGTGTTCTCGGCTCATCCGCCAGTCTGAAATCGAAGAATTCTCCACTTCAACAAATTCTATTTTTGATAGCGCTGCCGCCGCAGCCAATGATGGTATGGCAATATCTGCCACTCCAGAAGGTGTGATGCAATTGCCAACTATTGCGCTTATTTGTGATTTTGTGCCCAACACATCTCAACGACCATGTCTCCTATCTTTCTCCGAACTTACCACCCTTTTTCACGAAATGGGCCACGCTATTCATTCGATTCTGGGGCGAACAAAATTCCAAAATGTCTCAGGAACCCGTTGTGCAACTGATTATGCCGAGTTGCCTTCGGTGTTAATGGAGCACTTTGCTGCTGATCCTCATGTATTAGGATTATTCGCTGAACATTATGAGACGGGAGAAAAATTACCGTTCAGGATTGTTGAAGAAGCGCTGAATCTCAACAGTATGTACGAAGGTTGTGAAGTAGAAAATCAAATTATTTTAGCGCTTTTTGATCAAGATTGTCATTCAGCATTCCCGCTGGCATCGAATTTTGACAGCTCAAAGGTTTATCATAATACTCAAGCGATGCATGGAGTCTTGCCTCCAGATCCTGAAACGACAAGCTGGCAGGGATTTTTCGGACATCTCTTCGGTTACGGAGGCATGTACTATAGCTACCTCTTTGACCGAGTTTTGGCCAAAAAGATTTGGACTGAAGTTTTTGATAACGGAAACTCTTCAGTCTCGCGTAAGAATGGAGAGCGATTTAAGCAGGAGGTTCTGCAGTGGGGAGGCTCTAGGGATCCGTGGCAAAGCTTAAGTGCCGTCCTCAATGACGACAGATTGATAGGTGGCGGTGAGAAAGTCATGAGCCTCGTTGGTGGTTGGGGTATTCAGGGAAAGAGGTAAATTTGTAGATGTACCCAATATGCGGTACCATTTCTCCGGGGTCCTTGAGAGATTTTATTAATCGATATCTACCTTCTCATGGAACCTTTTGGGCTTCAACTACACTTATGGCGTTATTTGAATTCTGTCAAACGCTTAAAACAGAAAGGAGGTAAACCATCGTGCTTGCACGGCGAATTTGGAGATGCAAAAGTTTAACAGTTTTTTGGGAAGTTCGAGAGAATATCAGACTCATGTAAGATATCAGTTTAAGTTTCAGGCTGGCGTTGGTAGAATATTGGAAAGTGATAGTAAGAGTTCATTCTATAAATACAATATTTGTAAGTCTCAGTGGGTAAGTGCCACAACTTTTTTAATTTTGTTACCACCGAGCAGGTACGTATTATCAACCTTGAATCCCGCTCTCGAAACAAAGTTAGGAAGAACATATAAATATATTTGTGCAAATCTCAATCACATGCATACATTGAGGTATATGTTAATCTTGAAACCTAGAATGAAAAATAGCTATACGAGGTAAATAATGAATGAGTCATATATTTACCTGGCCGTTGGCGATAACTAGTTGAGTAGGGAATTTGCATCAAGTGTTAAGTTGAGGAAGATATAGATTATGTGGTATGAACTATCCTGTGTCAAAAAAGAGGCAGGAATAAAGATTGATCGTCTTTAAAGGATACAAGTAAAGATCACTTGTATTTGCTCTATAGAAATGGGTTACTCGCGGACTATTGATGAGATGTTTAAGATTGGAATAGTGTATAATATTTTTATTAGGTCTTTATTGATATCTGTTAGAATTTAGAATAATTGGGGTCATAGGGCTTGACCCTCACTGTCCATGAGAAAATAGTTGAAAATTGTAAAATTGTAAAGGAAATAATTTAGCTAGTATCTTATATATAGATTCTAGGAGTCCTCTACAGTCATTGACTCAGTTAGGACTATAATATAAATCTAATCTAACCTAATCTATTCTAGAATAATTGGGGCTATCAAGTGGGACACGTTACCAATATACACGTGACTGGAAATTCTGTACTTAGTCTCACTTCGGTAGTCAATCGAATCAATGCGCTCTACAACCTCAATGACTGAGGGGTCATTATTTCTTTAATAATATCTAAATATTCATTTCATCACAACAAGAAAAATGCCAGCCAATCCGTTTAGGAGCTATAGAGGGGATAAAATTCCCGGAACCTAATCTTTGTTGCCTGGATATATGCCTGTTAGCGACTTTTGTCTGGTACAGTCCAACTGAAGTCACAAATATCGACACATAATGCGAAGAGTAGGCTTTCAAGAGAATATTACAATGCACAACGAAGCTTAGAAGCAGGTAGAAAGGTAATTGCCGACTTTAACATGGACCGAATCTCCCTGATGGTCCATAGTTTGGGTATCTGTCTGATATATGTTTGACACAAGGTCTGGATGTTGTAACTTTGAAGCAATTCTAGAACTCTCAAGGGCGCCCCGCTGGCATCGACATGGAAATGAAACTAGGAAGATTCGCCGCGAGAGATTGCGGATAGAGAGGCCTTTAGCGAAATCAGCATGACACCATTCTTGACCGCTACGCTAAACTCAGGCACGATGCGACTACATGTCTTTCCAACGATTTCTAGCTATCTGGCCAAGACACTTGTACCGTGCCTTTGACTAAGAGCAAGTAACTCGGAGCTCAAGATTCTTATGCGTAGAGACCATTCTGGAGTGTCTTGACTCAGAAAACACAGTCAGGCCTTGCCCATGAGTATCCATCAGTAGATATTCTCAGGCCCTTCTTCCCTTCGCGAATAGCACTATCATTCCGTGAATCATTGCTGTGTTAGATTCTATGAGTCCTTATCGAGAAGAGACTCGCGGACTATTAGCTTGGGCAGAAGAGGCTCAAGCTAATCAGTCACTTCTTGGGGCACACAAAATTACGACGGGATAATTCTGGTAAATGGAGGGGAGGGGTTGAGAGAGAGACAGACATTAGCACTGACCAGAAATAATAGGTCGTGCATAAAAGAAATAAGTAATCTTTATGATTCCTAATGGAGCTAAGTAGTCTGCTACTCAAATCATCTATATTTAAAGTACAACGTAGTCAGCTATCCATTCGTTATTGATTAGAGGCCCGTCTCATACTAGTACTATTCATTCCCCTTGTGCTCCACACTCCACACTCCAGGCTAAACTTCTATTTCTAAATTTAATTGACTACAGATTATACGCGTAACTATTAAAGGCGAATGACCTACCCACATTCTACAATAACTTGATATGGAAGCGGGCTCTCCTAAAACACCTCTCACTAACCAACCACCAAGTGGAAACGAGATTTCATGGATAGAAATAAACTGCATGTTAATAAATAAACTTAAAAGTCCTGTGGCTTTGGAGTGAAACAACATAAGAGATATTTCCCCCCGTGATTTCTGTCAGAATTTTGCGCCAGTCGCACAGATTTGAGCTACAAAATTGAGGATATTGATCAGCAAGGTTGGTTTTAGATTAGAAAGCGAAAATTGTATCTGTTTTGCGTTTATTGGCCTATTGAGTCCATAGCTATACAAGGATATGAAGATCTTTTCTATCTAGGGACCGGGAGTGTTGTTGTTTTATTCAAGTCCTAAGCTAAAGCTCCAAATCCACTATGAGTACAGGACCGATGTTCACAGCCAGAACTACATCTAAGACATACCCAGCTTGATTCCACCGCATGAACCACCACAAAACCAGCAGTAAGTTAAAAATATACGCCGACGCGAACTCCTTTTCCCAAAATTGAAAAAAGAAAAAGATCAATTGCAAATAAGTTAGAATGGGAAGCAATACTCCTCGCCTCGATTCCCATTTTGTCAGGTTTAGTTTCCTGACGAGTTATATTCGATCTCCACTGAGAGTAGGAGATGGATACACAGGAGAATACCCATAACAATTGGTATCCTGCGCAAATTGTTTGAAGCTCTCGAAGCACTTAGGCCCGAGTAGCTTGTGTAAGAAGGCATTGTGTGACAATGGCCCTCTGATTCGACGCGTGATATTTGCGTTGAGTCGACAATGTATGAAGTGAGTAGGGGTGGTTTCCTCCCCACAGATGCACTCTGTAATAGCGTGCGGATTGTTGAAGCGACGATGGTACGCCGCGAAATTGCCGTGGCCCGTACGGGCTGCAATGAGATGTCGTAACTGTAGCCTGGAAAGCCCCAGTTCTGGTGGTTTGCGACGGCGCATGAGCAGATCTAGCTCACGATACCGTGACGGGCAAGTTTCATTCCACCAGCTGTCGAGCAAAGTCTGTCGCTGTCGATGCAATTTTTGGTGTAAAAATGCTGTCGTGGTGGTTGCTGGCTCAGTTTCCACGCTGGGAAGCGTTCGTAGGGCGGATTTGGCCGCTGCGTCTGCTTCCTCATTTCCATGTAGTCCCGAGTGTCCTGGTACCCACTTTATTCTTACCTGAGCTAGCCCAGATAATTCGCGAAACTTTCGTACTTCCTCGTGGCTGGTCGAGGACCTGCTCATGCTCAGTGCATTTATCGCATGTCGACTATCCATCAACACATTAATACACTGCGTCGTTCCCTTCGCCAGGTACTCCTTCTCTCTTAGGTGACCCAACGCTGCTTTAAGAGCTTCCTGTGCCCCCATAATCTCTGCATCTAAAGCCTCTCCACCGTGCTTTATGCCACTTCCTTTTTGAAAAGTTTTCCCATCCAGCTTTAGGACAAACCCCCAAGCTGAGCGTCCCATTTCCCTCCGATGCTCCGTCCGAGTAAGCACAGATTTCTGACTTTGGCACATTAGTGATCCAAAGTTTACAGGCTTCTACTTGGTCTTTTCTCGAACCAACCTTCGAACCCGGCCGCGGTTGATAAAATGGTGGGGCAAGAGGTTCCGTGACCTCTGCCTCTAGTAGCTGTCCATAAGCACGCTGAGCCCGTGACATTTGAATTTCAGGACGCGCAGATTTTCGATTGTGCTTTTTATATTTTCGCGTACCGACATTTGGGCAAACTGCAGCACGGATCCTAAGCGGATGGCGGTCGTCAAGTGTTTGCATTCTGGCAGAGAGGCGAAGTCGGTTTCCTTCGAGAATGATTTTCCCGGTTGGTATTCCTCCTTCCCTATGTAGTACAGCGTTGGGTGATGTTCTCATTACCGGTAGTGCTGACCTATGACCCATTAAGACAGCCTTATCTATCATACTGCATAGGCCAGCAGTGGGTGGTGTCACCATCCCTCGTACTGTTAGGCGTTTAAGGCCAGGCCACCAGACGTCAGCTCCGTACGTTGCAATTGGGACAATACACGTGTCGATCGCTTTAACCAACGCCCCAGGAGCGGCTCCTCGGCAGGCTGTATTGAAGCGACGCATGTGCTGTGCAATTTTCAACGCTTTGCCACACCAAGTTATGACGTTGTGTTTGAAGTTTAGTCGAGGATCGAGGTACACACCAAGCCAGCGGACATTTTGCGACGGTTCTATGAGAGTTCCGTTGACATAAATTCCAACCGATGTTTCGCGGTATCGTCCGGGGAATTGTACGACTTCGGACTTGTCTGTATCGAAAGCGACGGCATTATTTCGAGCCCAGTCTAGTAGGTTATTGACCTCGTCCTGTGCTGCGGCTGCAGACTCTGCAATCGTCCGGCCAAATCCAAGGATACCAATATCGTCGGCGTAGCTAAACCTCAGACCCGGGGTTCCACTTCGCATTGGATCTGCCATATATAGAAGGAAGAGAAGTGGCGAGATCGGTGAGCCTTGTGAAACTCCGCACACTAGCTCTCTCTTGGTAGTGACTCCCCCAGAGTATCGCACTTGAACCATCCGATTGGCGAGGAAGGAGCTAGTCCATTTGAGAATAGACTCCGGCCATCCCTGCTCCTGCATCTTCCCCACTAATCGATTATGGAGTACCGTGTCGAATGCTTCTTGAACGTCCAACGTTACAAAAGTAGCTGCCCATCCTTGTGAATTTGCCTCTTCGATGTCGTGGACC